GCCAAATAGAAGAAGTTTGCTTGTTGACTGTCATGCAATCCAAATTGTGCAGAGTGCCCCATGATATAATGTAGCTGCCTTGGTTTAGCTGTGTTGATTTTAAGAACTGTAAGGTGGCGATGTGGTTGCCTAATACAACAGCAAATTAAACTTCTCCGGATTGTACGGGTCATTGTTCGTAAGACGCGGTTAACGCTTACTCAAATTTCCTGCTTAAAGCAAAATGAATTTCACCTCGGGTGTCCGACAAAGCTGGAGAAAGATCGGGACGGAAATGAAGTAGGTTGTAAAGTCTTGTTCATCCCTGTCTGAATAATTAACTAAAAATTAATTCAGCATGTAGTGCAGAGTTAAGGCAGCAACCCAGTTCATATTGAAATAAGACAACTTTATCACCCGCTTTCAGGATTTTATTGCGATTTCGTTGATATTTAAAGCAACTACTCAGTAGCTAGCCAGTGAATATGACACGCAAGCTTGTCTAGAATTGTGCTAAATAGTGATGATGTGATTGTCGTTAAAGTGGTAGGCGGAAATTAAAATATATGACTATTTGTGCATTGATTACAAATACTGCATACTTCTGAGACCGTAGGAATTTGTCTGGGATCCAGTTATTTGGCATGTTTTGTCAATGGATGTCGTTTTAGAGTTGAGCGTTTGACAACCCACGTGTTGCTGCTTTATTCACTTCACAACTTACTGCCTGATCTCTAATGCCATATTAGATTAACTACACTAATCATCAGGTACAACAGTTTCATGTCTAGACGTTACTGAGGATGCATCTGTCTCCACATCACAGTAAATTTAATCAGATTCTTCATGAGGAAAACGCGCCTGGAGTTGGAAGCACCACAGCATACTTTGCAATCACTAAATCGACAACACCCGACATGGCATGCCACGCTTGCTCAGAAATATACCCTCCTCTGTTGAAAGACAAATAAACACACTGTAATCACAAAGCAGCGACCCTAGCGACAGTCGCAATTTTTTTTTCGTAAAGTACGAATTGCATCCACGTCCTCACCATCCGATATGGCGTGAAGCCTCGCACTTGTTCCATCTAGTCGATGCAGAAGTAGCTTGTTTCTTAAGGAAAAATTAACTAATGAAGGCGTAGTATCAGGTAAGTTGGTACACACGAAGTTGGGGAAATTGTGTTTTTTTGCAACATGATAGTCCGGGTATCGCAAAAATTATATAGTCAAAAAAAGTACTAGTCATGGTCCCCCATACAATAGATTGCTCTCTAATATATCCTAATAGCACGCCGTTTAGTGGGCATATCAGAGGTACCGCGCAGACGTTGAACAAGTCCCACCACTTGACGCTCGAACTTGTCCACTTGCAGTTTGAGTATCTGATTTATTTGGTTGTAATCGATGTCCATATCGGTGGAGGTAGGGCCGATTGTAGGCCCTTAAACGAAAAGTTAGTTTTAAATTTTGCTACTACTGACCTTTCACTTTAACACAAATGAGACGTAGTTATTCAAACGCAGTTTGCAAATCAGAATTATGGCTGAATTAGTTTACACAATAGCCTACGAATTCAATGTGCCTCTTCGTGTTAATTTGATCAGAAAATGTAAACGTACACAGAACCACCAGATATGTGTCAGGTAGAATGAGATGTTAAAGAAACACGCATTTATACTCACCACTATCGATGCCTAGGAAATGCGAATCATCCGTCACACAATAGATTGTTCTCTGAGAGATTTTAGCAGGAGCTGGATTTTCCAGGGCTTAAATCCAGAACTCCATCCATTTATGGAGCATGTCAACTCAGAACATCCCCTTCAAAACAACGATTCATCGCTTTACCTTGCTAATTCAGTCCGAAGGCAACTCAGAGAAGTTAGGCCTTAACTTGTCAGCATAGCACTTTTTGCATGTTTATTCAAGGGTCTTGTTGATTGTTGTCATAACAGATAATTGCTTGCCTTAAACTCCCGGAGTCATTTCACCGCATTTGTTTCAGAACCACTTATCTTTTTTTAAATAATTATCGAACGATTGTGCTGATTTAGAGTGAGACATAATGTGAAGCACTACGGTGATATCCTTATTCTTCTTGTTATCTTCTATTGCCTGCAGTTGGCGTTTTGGCAGTATCTGTTACACTGAATTTAAAAACTTGAAAGACAAGATAAAGCAAAGCCCATGTTAAAGTTTGCATCATCAGGGCCTTTAGGCATACTTGGACATGTGTAGTATTTCACTTTGATTTTGGCGTAACATGGGTCTCTTCCCTTAATGTAATAAGCAGACAATAAACCATCAAGATGTGTCTGCTCTTCTCTTGCAGCTGCAGCCTCACCTCAAAAGCAGCAAAACCCTCAGCCTCAGTGGTACGTTCAACTCAGTCAAATGTTGGACAATTTGCACAATATGTACAATCTGTTAACTGCTAGGCTGCACGCCACTTCGGATGCTGAAGACGCGGATGCCATTCGAGCTGCATTTCCCGCTTGTGAGGACGCTGACAATGTGCTACGATCTGCTGGCATTAAACTTGCAGCAGCCAAAACCATCCAACGAATAATAATTCGTGTTACTTTGGACACATCCATCGTTTGGACTTTGATTCGCAGCTCGCAAGATAGTTTTGTATTATGAATAACTAGAATTTTTAACATTGTGTAATTATTATGCTCTCGCTTTCTTTCCTTTGGAAAAGGGGTTACATTCGATAAGTTGTTGCAGGAGGACACACCGAGTTATTTTATTGTTGAGTTTTGGCTATTAATATTTTAAGGCACTAGTTCGATCCATTGAACTACTAGAGTTTGTCAGACGGTGTACAATTTTATTTTTTTTCAAATGACGGGAGGGTGATCAGGAGAAGCAGCCTTAACAGATAATGTCGCGTAATTTAAAAAATGATGTTTGTTAGTCTAAAATCTCAATTGGTAAATTTTCTGCTACAGTGGCTATTTAGGTCTTCAGAATTTTAGGCTAATTCCATGTCTTCACAGTGCAACATGACCGTTGCTCAGTCTTACAAATTGCAAGTTATGTAGAAATTCGAATAAGTGAAATTATGCTTTGCACTGTTCATTTCTAACTAAAACGCTTGTGTTACAGTATGTTTAGTTTGTTATTCTTAAGTCCAAAGTAAATTTATGGCATCACATAGTTAAATTTTAGCATTGTTTCGTCACTTCACATGGAAGACAGTGGTAGAAATCATCTAATTTCGTCTGACGTTCAAGTTAAATTGGTCACTTAAGTAAAGGAATTAATGATGACAGTTCTGACTGGTTGCCTACTGTCAGTGGAAGATTTAAGTACCTGTAAAAACTTTGTGTTTATATTAAACATGATTTTAGTGACTGACATCAACGCCGCATGCATAGAAGATGAGTAGATGAAGCAAGATATCTTGATAAACTTTTCGACACATGACACAACTGCCTAAAGTCGTGGACGACTCACATCTCAGTGTCATCTCTGGTGGTAACTTTAATTTAATTGTATCCACAACCTCATTAAAATTGGCGTAAGCAAAAGATATTAGCAGAGCTTCGGCGGCTGGTCTCTTACAGCTGGTCGAATAAATTTGAGAAATAGTGCAGAAAAATAGACAAACTATGCAGTGTCATTAACGTACATGACACGTTTTTTTGTCACATTCCCTGGCCAGCTACAATGGAGTTGATTGTAATAATTACTAAACTGCGATAAAGTTGAGAAAGTATCCATGGCCCATTTCTAGTGTTAAATCCACTACGCACGCACCTTAGCTGGTAGGTAACCATGTCAACCTCCTCATCATTCAGGGTAGCTCAATAAAATGTGAGTAGACAGATACACCAGGATAGACTAGTCAGTCCCTAATGCAAAGCGGACATTTGTGGTGGTACTGACGCAATTTAGTCCAGCTTATTTGAACTTCGTCGAACACGTTTGCGTAGACATCCAGTTGAACAAATTAAATAAACAATTCCTTTTATTTAAGCTTCCAAGCAACTCCTAATCAGTTACTAAATCTTGATTCCAAAAATGCCATCACATCGAGGTTGACCAGAGAAGAAAGGGACTTATGAATTGATTAGGTTATTAATGCACTGAACCATGAATAAACTCCTTGAAGTAATCGTACCATACAGTGCTTAAGTGCTACTTTGTGGAAAGTAGGTATGATATCGCAAAAGAGGGTCTAAATTGGGAAAGGCACCCAGATAATGTTGATGATTTACACCGAGACTGCTTTGTGTGAATGTTTAAACGATTTTTTTACACAGACGTTCTGCTATGACATTGGATATCTGCTGTCAGTCATTACTGAAATGTCTGTCAGTATATTTCTAGCAGCACACGTCTCAACTCACGAGCTGCATCTTTTATGCAAATCTGTATTTACCCACAAAAACGAAACATGGATTTGCATATGAAGCAATTAATAAACACCAGGAGAAATGTGTTTGCTACGAGTTAGGAAGGGAGTGTGCATTCAAAATTGGCAGTTCAAGTAAAGGCCAAATTCATGTAATGAGTCACGAGAAGTTGCAGTTCAGTCACCACACAAGATCGGTCGTTTTTAGACAAGCAACGACAATTTGACGTGCATCAACCAAGTGGGCAGTTTTTGAATCTGCCAGCAGCAATTCAATAAACTTTTCCACTTACATCTCGAACTCACGCAACTTCTGATCGAGTTCTTGAGAATTCTGGTTTCGACACGAACTCACCACGCCGGTTACGTCGTACCAGTAAAACCGCTACCTGCCAGGTCAAAACGGCAAAAACCTTTAAAGTCGGTGTTACCAATAGCTGTGGATTTCAAGAAACTTGCATCTCGTCGGGGTAACCAATTATTGCACGTCAAAGCCATTGTGTCGATCTAGGCTAATTACTCTACCCTAAGTGCTAACGGAAATAAGAAGACCAGAGAGGACGAGGCGCAACAGTTTACTAGACAGCATAAAGTAGTTCTGTTGTGACGACTAATACAGCTGAGGGAAGTAGTAAAAATACGGGCGTCTGAATGGTCACATGGACAGAGTGGGTGGTGGTGAGAGTACAGTCAAAAGAGC